TAGATCTTCAAGTCCAACCCCCCCACCTGGGCAGGAGAAAAACTGGGCTCAAATGACTCCAGCCAGGTAGGCATCAAGCCTCTTCTTAAAGACCCCCAGGGTAGGAGCCAGCACCACTTCCCTTGGAAGTTGGTTCCAGATCCTAGCCGCCCTGACTGTGAAGTAGTTCTTACGGGTGACTAATCTAAACCTACTCTCCAGCAACTTGTAGCCGTTATTCCTTGTTATGCCAGGGGGCGCTAGGGGAAACAAGGTCTCTCCCAAACCCTTCTGGTCCCCCCTAGTGAGTTTATAGACGGTCACCAGGTCCCTCCTCAGCCTTCTCTTGTGAAGGCTGAACAGGTTCAGTCCCGCAGTCTCTCATTGTAGGGTCTGCCCTGTTGTCCACGGATCATGCGGATGGCCCTCCTCTGGACCCTCTCCATGTTGTCCACTTCCCTCTTGAAATGGGGCGCACAGAACTGGACACAGTACTCCAGCTGTGGCCTGACCAGTGTCACGTAGAGGGGGAGGATCACCTCCTTGGCCCTACTTGAGATGCACCTGTGGATGCACGACAAGGTCCGGTTAGCCCTGCCAACCGTGACCTCGCATTGTCAGCCCATGTTCATCTTGGAGTCAATAATGACTCCAAGATCCCTTTCTGCCTCCGTGCTCTCAAGAAGGGAGTTTCCCATCTTATAAGTGTGCTGCTGGTTACTACTGCCCAAGTGCAGCACCCTGCACTTGTTGGTATTGAAACGCATCCTGTTTTTGTTAGCCCACCCCTGCAACCTATCCAGGCCCCTCCGTACTAGCGTGCTCACCTCACCCCAAATTTTGGTATCATCAGCAAATTTAAACAGGCTGCTTTTCACCCTGTCGTCCAAGTCGCTGATGAAGAAATTGAACAGCGCGGGCCCAAGGACTGAGCCCTGGGGGACTCCACTGCCCACTTCCCCCCAGGTCGAATATGACCCATCCACCACCACCCTCTGAGTACGACCCTTCAGCCAATCTGCAATCCATCTGACTGTGTAGGCATCAATGCCACAGTTGCCTAGTTTTTTAATGAGGATGGGGTGGGAGACGGTGTCAAAGGCCTTGCTGAAGTCCAGAAAGACTACGTCCATGGCGACACCTGCATCCAATGCTTTTGTGACCTGATCATAAAAGGCAGTCAGGTTGGTCTGACATGACCTGCCCCTAATGAAACTGTGCTGGTTGCCCTTGAGCATCATCCCTGAAGCCAGCCCATCGCAGATGTGCTCCTTGATGATCTTCTCAAAGAGTTTCCCTAGGATTAAGGTAAGACTGATGGGCCTATAGTTTCCAGGGTCCTCCCTCCTCCCTTTTTTAAAGATGGGGACCACGTTGTAAAGGTATCCTAAAGCAACATGTCTTCTGTTGTCCAGCACAGTGCCTTTAGAGTTGTATATATTTCTAGAGATGAGGTGCAGAATCTGACTCTTGGTCTCGAGGCCCTTCATGCTTCTCAGGCACTGTTCAGATATTTTGTAAAGGAATGTGTACAGATCTAGAACCTACCATTTGGAAGAAAGCATAATGTCTCTTAGTGGGAGTATAACAAAGAGCACTGAGCATCACTGAGGTAGGATCTTGGAAACTAGGATAACTATGAGAAAATTCAGCTAAAATACTCCTACAAAGGAACATTCAAAAAGGAATTGTATAATTCAACCAAGGAGGGGTAAGAGGCAACAAATTTAGTAGATTCCTGTGCTCTCTTTCCCTTTCTTTGTCTTATTGCTCATTAATGTCCCAGCAGGAAGGAATGGCCAGGTCCCCTTTTGCCCAAGGCCTTGTGTACTGCCAATGGCCCACAGATAATGTTGGAGAGCTAGCCAAGACAAGGTGCAATTGTACAGCCAGGCCCTGATCCAGATATGTGGGGGGAGGAGGTTTGGCCGAGCCCCAACTTAGCCATGCAGGGGGAGAGGAGGCATCACCTCGCCCCAACCCAGCCTCATGGAGCGGGAATGTGTGGCCTGGCACCACGAGGGGAGAGCTGGTTGTATGGGAAGCATGGCCTGATCCTGATCTTGCCAGGCTGGGGAAAGAAGGAGTAGTTCAACCCTGACCAAGTCACACAGGGCTTGGGTATTTGTCAGCAGGGGAAGGGTGACAGTATTGCTACTGCTTCCCTGCTGCCAAATTTCCTGATCCATGAGGATCCCCATGGGGCAATTACCATGGTTCTGTGGACCAGATTTGGCCCATGTGCCAGGGATTGAGCACCCCGGTGTAGAAATAGCACAGGCCAGACATATGGATGGAGAGAAAAATTGCACTAGCTGTTTCAACTTGAGTTTGCCCTATCTGATGTTTATTACTGCTAAGCCACAGAGTATCAGTACTTGTGAACAAGTATGGTAATAATCCTTTCCACCACAAAGAAGGGTTCTCCTCTCCTCTCTTTCCAATTCTGCTGAAAAGATTTCTAGACAGTGCTGAGGAGGAGTTTGCAATCATGTCCTTGGGCCAGAGTACAGGCCAGTTTTAACATCTGGTTTTTACTTGAGGAGTTGTAGATGGTCTTTGTGGAGGTCTTCAGAGGCAGTACTGCAGCCAGATCCCTGCTCAAAGGCTTCCCCTGGTGGCTGAAGGGGCTATTGCACTTTATACATGGCTTTGCTCAGTATAATACCCTATAGTGCAGTGTAGAGTGAGGCAGATAACAGTACAGTTTGCCTGCGGTGCTTCCAGGCCATGTCCCGTTTGCAGTATGTGCAGCCAACAGTTCTTCCTCAATTGCAGGTTTATTGAAGTATTCCACTGCCTGATACAGAGTAGCCCTTAACTTTGTGCAGAACAGATCTCTAAGAGTATAACTGATGGTCACAAGTCTGATACAAGAGGTATTTCTATACTCTAGATTAAATGGAGCCCTAAAAATATGTAATGATATACAGAGGGGGTGATCTTACCATACATGCTGAAATGTATCACTGTTACCTAATTGCCCGTAATATGATTCAGCATATGTCTAATATTGGTGAACTGTAGCCATGAGCTCTTTCCTACTGTTCTTTTGGTTTTTTATGTTAGCTAATACTTTGAAAGATGTTACTGTTATTCCCCAATCACTTCCAGAAATTTATTTTGAGAGCTGACCAACTCTGATTATCCAACTGGGCCAAGATTTTAAGTTATGACTCAAACATTTCTGGAACTTATACTGATGGAAAATCCATGGTGTGTCTTTTGCTTTCCTCCCTGGACTTACCACCACCAACACAGGACAGATCAAGAAACTGAGTTTAACATCTGGAACAGGCCCTATCACACAGTTCGTACCACACTATCAGAAATAGAAACTGAACCAGGGAACTTTGCAATATGCAGCTTAGAAATCATGGATAGCTTTATAAACACGCTTTGTTATATATTATTCTGTAAATTTTTTTGCCATTCTGGATAGGAAAGTATTGTAGCATCATATCTTCAGTTAGTATAAATTAGCTTAGTCGACGAATCATTAGCTTCTGGCAACATACAAATGTACATTTCTAAAAAAACATTTAAAAAGCTTTAGAAGTATTTGTGAGGTTGATATGTCTCACCTGATTCTCTGGCACTCATTTAACTGCTATTTAAAAGCACCATCTGTTCACATTGACAAATATTGTTGGTAACTTGGGGCCCCGAGTCTCTGTTTAGCCCTTGAGTGCACACATGTCAACAACTCTTTCCCTAGTAAAACTCATATTTGGCAGAAAATTCTCTTCCATTTTTAAGGTAGAGGGGATGAAAATAGCATGAAGAAGTATCTGGTATTTGTGGGAAAACACAGTATTTGTCTTACTTTACCCCACCACCCTTCTCCAGCCTCAAATGTGGGTTTTGTTTTATATTTTTATATTTTGGATGCTGAAAGATAGTACTTTTAATTCTTAACAAGGTAGCAATTCTGGTCATTGAGAGTGATTCACCTGTCATGAGCCTTCTGGTAGCAGTTTTGTTAGGGTGTCTTATATATTACCCAGTGCTTGACCTGGCAGCCAATTTTACCACCTGTAAACAACTACTGATATGATGTAGAATAATTTGTGTTTCGCTAAATCATTTAGATTTTGTGTTGTATTGTAAAAAAAAAGAAATAGCACATTGCTAGAACCTGGGAACCATTTTTTTTTTAACAGGATATCACTCAGGGCAGTATTTTAATGTTGCATGCATGCCTTACCTTTTAGTTTTGTGGAAGTTATTCACATCCTACCACAAATTTGTGTTCCTACCTGTGCCATTCCTGTTTTGGGACATAAAATAAGAATTACCTGGCAATGGTAGCTATTACTGAATAACAAATACAGTCAACCTCAGGCAGGGTTACACTGTGCTTGGTACACATGGAGTCAGATTCTCACATTGAGAAAATGTCAACACTGGGATTTTTTTGCATCAGGGTAGGTTCATCTGTATAAACTACTAAAGACATGGCACTGTGGAGAAGGGTGCATTTTACACTATTGCAGTATGTCTATACCTATTTGTACTGGTGGGCCTAAATCTCTGGCTCAGGTCTCTTTCTTCCTACCCTCCCCAAAACCCTCTTGCATAGACAAGCCAGAGAAATGTCTTATTTGATAAATATTCAGTTGACTTGGGAGGCACGTAAAGTCAATTGGTTTACTTGACAAACAAAGTGCTATTCAGTGTGTGAGTAAGAATAGTAGCATCTGGGTTTAATAGCAAGCCTTCTTCCACCATGTATTACTGTATGGAACAGTGAGCATGGAGTTTATGAGGTGCCAATAAAGATTGAAGGCATTCTTTTTTATTAGGTTTCATCAGTGCAACTCCACAAATGCATAAACTAGGATGAGTTGTTTAGATTCAAACATGTTGATTAACTCAGACCTGTTATAATTAAGAGTATGGAAGCACAAAGATAAGAAATTATTAGAACTGTGAAGAGAAGTCAAGTATTTTGGCATCCAAGTCACTCACACAAAAATTCCAAATAGCTTAAATGTTATAGTCTGTATTCTTTTTTTTAGTCTTGGAAGAACTGGAGCAGACTATCTTTTCCAGATATGGAACAACTTCAGAGCAGAAAAATCTCCATACTGCAGAATGGGTAAGTACTACCTGACTTTAAGTTAATTGTATGTGCCTATACATTTCCAGATATTTAATACAGTTTTGAGGTAGGCTTCCAGAAGAGAAAGCTTCTATTTTGTAGTTGAAATTAGTGCCTGTAGTTCAACATGAGTAGTTGCATATTTAACTACCAACTCTGGTCCCCTGTCATCTAATTTAGAGGTGCAGTTTTTCAGGTGTTCTGTGAATCTTCACCTTGGGGTGCAAAATATAGTTTCAAATTACATATAGGGAAGCCAGGCCTCAAACCAGATTAAAAAATTGCCTCTTAATCACCTGGATATCTATAACTTATAATGAGTGAGGAGGATGTGTACTGTGTTGCATTTATTCTTATTTCCAACATATAATTTTATTTGAGAGCTTGTAGCACTGTATAGAATTAAGTTTGCCTAGTAGTTTTACATTTTAAAGAAGTTTGCTTTCAGTAAATAAATGGTACTGAAATGCACTAGCAAAATGTGTAGGTCACAGCCCATTCTAGTGGATGTGCCACAGAGGATCACTCCGTCCACCAGTCAAGCCCAGTTCATATTGACTGAGTTGGTGGTCAGTACAGCTCTGCGTGGGCAAAATTCTGTTTTCTCCATACATTTCAAAGATGTTACTTCCAAGAAGTTAATTAACTAAAATTAAAGAACAGTCACAATCAGATGTCTGTGCCTTAAGGAAGCCTGTGTCTTGTGCATAAGGTTAGGTAGGCCTACATGAATACTTTTAATTTTTGTTTTAGCTAATCAAATGAAAAAATCTTTTCTTCAGATCAAGCTAGAATGGAAACAGAGCAAACCAAAATGAAATAGAGTTATGCTAGAAATCCCATGAACTTTCATAGTGGGACTTATGAACAATTTTGTTTCTGTTTCACACATTTTTAACAAAAACAGCTGAACTGAAGGCACTGTGAGATGCCATATATAAAATCAGAGGTGCAGGTTTTTTCCCTTTTTACTAATAGCCTGGTGTTTAGAGCACTCATCTAGGATGTGGGAGACAGACTCTATTCCTCCATGACCTGAGGAGATTTTCATAGTTGTTTCATAGTTGGTAGGGTTGGAAGGGACCTGAGAAAATCATCAAGTCTGACCCCCTGCCATGGCAGGAAAGAGTACTGGGGTCAAACGACCCCAGCAAGGTGTTCATC